AGTAGATTGCCCCATTTACCTTCCAACCACCAGCCTTCTGCTTAGCAGTCAAATGCCTTAGGCACTACACCACCAGAGCTCCTAGAGGGCTATTGTGAGAATTAAATAAGATGTTATAAAAGAAGTCCATAGCTCAGAACCACTTAGCAAAGATGCTTGTTTTCTTTTCATTTACTGGTCTTTGCCTCTCTCAAACATCTGTGAGAATAAAATATAATTGCTATTGATTATTTCAAAGGCACCCTGGTGGCATACTGCCCAAGGCAGTTGACTGCTAACCAGAAAGTTCGCGGTTCAAATTCAGCAGCCACTCTGAGGAAGACAGACTGGGCAATCTACTTTGGTGAAGATTTACTGCCTCAGAAACCTAAAGGGGGTCACTATGAGTCAGAATTGACTCGATGGCAGTGAGTTTGGTTTTTTGGTTATTGATTATTTCAGAAATATCTGCTGGTCTTCACTACTTTTCTCCATGAGTCACTCTCTCACCAAGATTCTGCTCTTGCAGTATAGCAGCACTATGGCTCTCCTAAATTGGTTCTCAAACAAACCACAGTGAACTTTTACTTCCAGTTGAGAGTTGTATCCGTCAAGGCCCATGAGAGATTAAAATTCTCTGGTGGCGTAATGCCTAAGTCATTTGACTGCTAACCAGAAGGCTGGCTGTTCAAACCCACCAGCCAATCCTTGGAAGGAAGATTGGGCAATCTACTTCCGTAGAGATACCACCTCAGAACTCAGAAACCCAAGGAGGGGTCACTATGAGTCAATCTGACCCGACAGCAGTGAGTATAATATCCCTGTACTCTGGGAACTTCCCTCAAAGCCTGCTCTGTGTGTGTGTTGTGTGTGTGTATAAGTGTATGTGTGTGTGTGTGTGTGTGTGTGTGTGTGTGTGTATATATATATATATATATATATATATCTTTGACTATCTCAGAGAAGTGGAGAGAAAAGACTTTTGATCAAATAGAGCAATAGATTTTCAAGGGTAGCTTGTAAGTTGACTCTAAAGGCAGTTCATGAATGTTTTTAAGCAATGGCAGCATAACTTTGCAAAGTGGCAACATTGAAGAAACACCAGCATTTGGATGTATTAAATATAAAATGACTTTTAGAAATCACATCTTCTTTTAAAAAGCCTATCTTGAGAGATCTAAAACAGCCTATGTCTTTCTAGGTCACCCTTTAGGCTGGTAAGCTAGGATTGGTATTCACTGGCACCCTTAAGTTTTGACCCATATTTGAAAGATTTTTTTAAGGCAGTGTAATGTTCCTTTCTAGAGGATCTCAGAGGGCCTCGTCCTCACATACACCAGGGTCTTGCATGCTAGTTTGCTATACCCAGAAGTAGTATAAACATCTTCTATCAGGCAGTGTTCTAACTTGGGATATGGAAATGTAGCTACTAAGTAAAGCAAGGCAAATATGATTGGAGACAAAGCCCTAGGCAATAAAGGCCTACATTTGACTCCTGACTCTACTGCTCACAAGCTACTCAATCATTCTGAGCCTTGTTTCCTCACCTGTGAAAAGGAGGCCTGCTTGACCTGCCTCACAGGACCAGGAAGTGAAACCAAAGATGAGGCCCTTAAAGCACCCAAAGCCCCATCCCTGAACTCTGCACTCACTAGCACCCTGTACTCACTAGGTCCCTCCTAGTTCTAAAAGTGGTGTCTTACCACGTCCATTAGGCAGTTTGTGCAAAACAGGGAGGAGGTACCCTCAGTGGTGGCATATGATCAGGTCTGTGTCAGCCATGGAGGGTCCTTTCTGCCCACACCCGACCCTCAGCAGCATGCCCCAGGCTCACCGAACGCCTCTCCATATTCCCTTTTTTCCTGTCATTCTTGCCTGGAATGACATCCAGCGAGCGGTAGCTGGGTGGCTTCTCCTCAGGCCACTTTGGGGAGTGCGAGTGGCGGCGATGGGCACCCGAGCTCCTCCAGGGCTGCCTTTCCTTCTCCTCCTCAGAGCTCCAAGAACTGAGCCCAGAGGGCAGAGGAGGGGAGTAGCTACGATGCCTGCGTCTCCTGTGCCTCTGGGCACTCTCCCGAGGGCTGGGCCTGTGGTGAGTCTCTGGACGGTAGCTCCTGGGAGGAGGGCGATTATAATGCCAACGCCACTCACTGGACGAGGGGCCATCACTGAGGCTGTCCCTGTCTGACCAGGGTGTAGGTGAGCCATTCAATCTAGACCTATGGTGCCTCCCACTCCTGGAGTGGTCCTGCTCCCTTTGCTCCAGTGCCCAAGGCTTTCGCCAAGGGTCCTGGGGCTCCTGATGGCAATCAGAGTAGTGGTGCTGCCTTCTCTCCTCCCTCAGATCCCAGGGACCTGAGGGAACGTGGGTGTGCCGCTGCGGGTGTGAGGAGTCACTGGTCCTCCCTGAGGATGGTAGGTCCTTGACCAGTGGGGGCAGGCGGATGATTCTGCGTTCCATGACCTCGGAGCTCAGGGAGGACAGCATGCTGCAGGGATGGCCAGATCTGGCTTTGAGGTCAGGAGGCAGAGGCTGAGCAGGGTTGAGGTTCCTCAGCTCCTTCTCCAAATACTCTAGGATGCCATTGGCAATGGGAGGGTAGGTAGCAGTCTGGGTCATTGGCATCTGTGGAAGGCTGGACCGCAGGGACAAATCTGAATGGGAAGAAGGATAAGAATATGCAGAACTGCTGATCCAAAACAACGCTCCAAGGAAATCAGGGCACTGAAAGTCACATCATTTAGCTTGAATCCACCCCTTCCATCAGTCACAGAAGTACTCACCATATTGATCATGGAGATCCTGATCAGCTCATGCTCCTACCCTTGCCCTCTGACCTCCCAACCTCAAACTTCTGGCAAGGTTTACCTCGCTGCAGCAGCGGGTGCATTGGGTAAGATGAAAGCTGGGAGCTCCTGTCCGCCCCCCAGTACAGGGGTTTTTCCATCATCTGAGGGACTAGGGCCTGAGCCTGCTTCATGTAGCGGTGGCGGGCCAGGGCTGCAGGAGAAGAAGGAGAAATGCAGACCCTCAGCCAGGGCAGGCCCCACAGCTCCCACTTCACTTCTCTCCATCTAGCAACCTTGCCAAGAACCAGCTTCTCTCTTCCAAATCCATTATGACTTGTCTTAAACCAGTTATCATAGAGTTGATTCTGACTCATGGAAAGCTCATGTTTGACAGAGTAGAACTGTTCTCCATAGGGTATTCAATGGGTGATTTTTTCAAAAGTAGATCACCAGGCCTTTCTTCTGAGGTGCTTCTGGGTGGATTCGAAACTCCAACCTTTCGGTTAGCAGCTGAATACATTAACCACTTGTATGGCCCAGAGCATAGGAGTGAAAAGTTAAGGGAGTAGTAAATCAACTGTTCTTTTGGAAAGGAGCTTAGAATAAAATTCCTAGGTAAAATTGCAACTCCTCCACCCCGAGAAAGTATATTCTTCAAATTTGACTTCTTAGCCTCAGAACACAGTATCATTCTATCTACTCCTAAGGTCACCTAAAATGTATAGGTAGCTACATGGATGCTAGCAATGAAATCTCTGCCACTGGCTAGAAATAGAAAGTACAGATGCAAAGAGTCCAGAAATTCTGTGAGTCAGAGACCGGGGGCTTTTGGGGGCCTGTCAGAGATGCTCAGGGATGCCTGCTCAGAGTGGAAGAAAAAAAGGGAAGGACATGGATGTTGAAGGTCAATGGGCAGAATTACTGGTAAAGGGAGGAGGTCTGAAGAGTGGGTTTTTGGCTTGTACACCAGCTGTGGGTGGGAGAAAACCTATGGGAAGAGAGAGGGAATGCAAAAAGCTGAAGTGGATTCCAGTGAATTCTTCTCCATCCTCTCTCACCTTATTGGGTTTTCCCTAAGTAGGAAGAAATCCTTAAGTAGTGAGGTGAGGGGGCAGGGAAGGGGGAAGAGAAATACTATTTCCTCTCAGGACAAAGAAAAGATTATAGAAAAGCATCAGGAGTGATTGATCACAATGTCACTCTAGCTTCCTACATGCAGCTGGTCTACAGCATACGACTCACCCAATAAAAGTGAGTGCAAATTCAAAAGCATTCAGTTGTTTAAAATAAAGCATTTCGTTGTTTTTGTTCACCTGTCTCCCAAGGTCTCTCTGCCTGTTCATGCCAGTAGGAAATACAGGAAGTGGCTGCCTCAGGTTGTGAACAAGGGCAGCTGTCAACCTGGCACTCCCACACTCTTGGTGCCCCACTCCAATTGCCATTAAGGTGATTACACTCATTACGACCTTATAGAACAGAGTAAAACTGCCCTATAGGGTTTCCAAGGCTGTAATTTTTATGGAAGCAGATTACCACACAATAGTGTCACTAGGGTTGGTGACACCCATTGTGGTAACTTGGTGTCACACTCATCACCCTCCCCCTATGGGTGGGAGTGGCCAGCAAACCCCTCTCCCTACACTCCCACCCAAGGCAAAGACCCTTCTCTCTGCCCAAGGTGGGGGGTGAGGTGACAAGTTACCACACTGTGTAATGAGTGACACCAACCTAGAGGTGCCACTGCCTTGGCAGCCCCTTCTCTTGCAGTGCTGGCCTATCCACTGCTGCTACCATCACCAACATTGGGGTCATTTTGGTGTCACCCCATCTAACAGTGCCAGGGGATACAGTCAGCAACCCTCCTCACCTTCCTAATGACGCCACTGCGCCTACAAGGTTGCTATGAGTCCAAATGACTGGACAGTAATGTGTTTAACAAATCCTCTGAGAAATCTCTTAATGTGGGAGTCAGATGAGGATGCTGGGGCTCAGAGGTTACCTTCACAGCCCAAGGACTCCCAGGTAGTAACAGGTAGAGCCAGGGTGTGAACCTGCATCTCTCTGACACCCAAGCCTGTACTTTTCTACCATACCAAGTCCCCAATTCCTTTATTTCTGTGAGGAAGCAAAAAACCTTCCCCAGGGGTACCTCCTCAGTTTCTCTTCAACTCACCTCCTTATCTTTCCAAACCTATTCCAGTTTAGTCTCTGTCTTGAAGGCCTAGGGTCAACTGATTCTACTGTGACAACTTTACTCAAACCTCCCTCCCCAACTATGAATTAAATCCTGGCTTCTTCTAGAAAGTACTATTTTCCTTTTTGGCCACTTCCTTCTCCTATTCCTTCAATTCAGGAGAGGAGAAAGGGAGAATTGGACTTTCTCCATGCTCCTCAACAGATCTTTTTTTCTTAAATAGGACCCTTTGCACAGATAACTCCCTGGATATCTTTCCAGGTCCTCTGTTAGCTTTCCTGTCATTTCCCTGCACTTCCCCCCACACTCCAGAGATTAACCCACATGCTCTCTTCTTGGCTACAACAATATTTTCCCCTTGGTCTTTCCCTTCCTTGATGCACTAGCACTGATTGGATGCAACTGCAAATAGAGTCTTCAGGCTTCTCTCTTGCCTTCCTGTTCCTGAAACAGTCCCAAGGAGAGGTCTGGACTATCTTAGGGTTTCTGTTGCTCATCTAATGTAGAATCAGACAGGTAATGAAAATAAGAAACACTGATAAAGTAAGAGAGCTTCAAAAGACTCCCAATAAGTCATCTCTGAATCTCAATAGAGTAAAGCTTGCCTTATCACCTTTTATGAGGTTGTTAAAAATACAGATTCCAGGGGCTCACACCCAAAGACTCTCTTATAGTAGGTCTAATGCTAGATGAGAAAACTGGTATTTTTAACAGGCTTCCTCATGTTAATGCAGGAAGTCAACTTGTAGTATTCTCAACAATACTTTGAGAAATGTGGTCCTGGGGAATAGGTCTCTCCTTAAATACAGGCTTTGAGGGTCAGCTGGACTTCAGCTTGAACACTCTATGTACTAGCTATGTGACTTTGAGTGAGTTTTCAGTCTCTAAGCCCTGGTCTTCTCATCTGTGAGCTTGGAGAAATAATACCTGTTTCACCAGGTTGCTGAAGTTAAATGAGATAAAACACATGAAATTCCTAATATGTGACAGCTAATAGATAGTGGCTCTCATTGTTATAATAAATCACTTCTTTTGCCATTAAGCTCCCATAGGAGGAGACAAAAGCACATATTTGGAAACTAAACCAACAAAGGCATATTCATCTTCATTTCTGAAAAAAACCAAAAACTCAAGGGCATGTTCTTTAAGATCTCCCCTTTGTGACAAAAATTACCCTCAACACCTTTTCTCACACTCTTCAGAGACCTGCACCTAAAACCCCCGCACCTCTTCTGTCGACAGCATCATCTGTGCCCATCACCATGCAGAGCTGGTCTAACTGTAGTTGCCCATTATGATTACCATACCCCACCATTCCCTTCTACTCTTTTTTTGGGGGGGCGGGGGGCTTCTCACTTGATTTTTAATGATAAGGAACAGTTAGGAGATCTTAATCAGGCCTCGTTATAGAGCTTTCATCTCCAGCCTCCTTCATACCTCTGGGGAGTCCCTTCTACTTTTACAGAGCTTGTCCTTTACCGTCCTTTTGACTTCCCTTTTCCTCATACTATCAGTCTCCTCTAACTTTACAGACCAGCCAATTCAGTGATATCCTCAGGAGCTTTCTAGAATACCATGCTCCTTTGAACTTTTGCCATTTCTCAGCCTTAGGAAACCACTAGCAAATGCTTCCTCCACTACTGGCCCTCAGCTGCCAGCCGTGACTTAACATTCAGGCCACCTACCTCAAATAACCTTCCTTCCAATAAGGGCATCTTTGATTGATCTTCAGTGACCTTGCTTTCCCTCCTTTAAAACAGCAGTTTAAGGTTTCCCTACTTCTCAGGTCTCCCCGCACCGTGAACTTTCAGCTGATGACATCATCTTTGCTGAAGAAGAACAACTAGCCCTGGTCATGGAGTCAACAGCCCTGAGTCTAGTCATGTTAGGAGTCACCACTAACAAGCTGGGTAATTGTGCAAAAAGTTTCTCTGGGCCTTATTTCCCTCAGCCATGAAAGGTAGGAGTAGATCAGAGAGTCTTAGTTGTGGCCTGCAGTCCATGGCAGGGTGAGCCTAGCGAATTCTCTGGGGAGGAAAGCTAGTGATGATCGACAGATGAAAGCTGTTTCTTCACTTCTCACAGAGAAATGAGGCACAATTTAAAAACTTTCACCTCTCAGTTCCATTGTGGCTTGTTTACTAGCACTAAGTGAATTCTTGGGAGCTCTGGTGGCATAGTGCCTAAGGCATGTGAGTGCTAACCAGGAGGCTGGCAGTTCAAACCCACCAGCCACTTCTCAGAAGGAAGGTTGGTCAATCTACTTCCATAGTGATACCACCTTGGAAACCCAAGGAGGGGTTGCTATGAGTCGGATCTGACTCCATGGCAGTGGGTTTGGTTTGGTTTTTGAAAGTGAATTCTCAAGAGTTACTGAAATTTGGTGTAATTTTTTAACCCCTCTATAGTCCTTTAGTCCCTGGGTCCACCCAGATGTGCCTGGAAGAAAGACCCAGAGATCTACTTTAAAAAAACCAGCCACTGAAAACCCTAAGGAGCACAGTTCTACTCTGACACCACGGGGTCTCCACAAGTCAGAATTGACTTGATGGCAACTGATACGTATGTAGAGCCCTTTATTAAATCTCATTGAAAAGTGGGAACAACCTGGGTGCTGGGTTGTGGTCAAAGAATTTCAAGAACCACTGAACATCATTCTCAAAGCTCCCTTCTGGGTCTAGAATTTTAGTTTACTGAAATTGAGACAGGCTGGTGTGAGCTCCCTCAGCTTCCTCCATTATAACTTAACCATCCTCCACATTTTAATGACTTCCTTTCCCTGGACAGAGGTCCGGTTGCCTTTTCCTTTCCTTTTCAAAGCCAGTACTTTCACTGTAAACCTGGTATCACTCCTACAGGCTCCATCAGTCTTCACTGATGACCTCATTTCTTAATGCTTCACTTTACTCACTTTCTATTGATCTTGGATCATTGCCTATAAATATGCATAGGGTTCTGATTTTAAAAATCAAACAACCCTCCACGAAAGAGCTTTTCTTAACAACTCCTACCCCCTCCATGCAATCTCCTCCTGTCACCAAACTTCTCAGGACCATCTGCCCTAGTGACTCACTTTGAAAGTGACCTCATCTGCTCAAATCCCAGGGTTTTTATCTGTGGCATCTATTTCTTTGTTTTACTAGTTCTTCTAAATGAATTGTAACCACTTAGGAGAAACCACTCTCCCTAGAGCCTCTGTTTATGAGCTAGGTGACAGATTTCTTTATCATACATGCTGGCCTTGTCTCTAGTCCTGCCTATTTTTAGCACCCCACTGATCTAGAGATTCTAAGATGGCATCTTTTGAGGGTTTTTCTCATTTTATTCTACATAGTACTACTTGAGCAACAGTGACTTCTCCATAGCACCTCTCTCTGAGGTTCCTCAAAGGTAAGGAGCCCCACAGCCCCATACTTGTTTTTTTTGCCATTTTCTCTCTCTTTAAGAAGTTTGTATCTCAGCTAATCCTACAGTGATCTGCATACACAGGTCGTGATGGGGCCCTGCTGTGGGAAACAGTCACTCACAAGTCAGATGAATTTGGATTAAAATACTGCACTGTTGCTGCCACTTACTAGCTGTGTGACATCTCTGACCCTCAGTCTCCTTATTTGTTGAATAGGGATGAGACCTGCCTTATAGGGTAGTTGTGAGGATTCACTGAGGAAATACATGAAAAGGGCTTCCACATAGTAGACAGCCAATAAAAGTTAGTTCCTTTTTCCTGTAAAACAGTGACCTTAGGACACCAAACTCAGACCAATGACCTTCTTAACACTGTAGATTTTGTAGGTTTTGTTTCTATCTTAGGAGATAATTCCTTATTTTTCATTTAAAAAGTTTCCTTTCAAATGGGCCAAAATGATGTGAGTGGTTACATCTGGATGCTCAGATTAGTCTTTACATTTTCCTGTATTTTTCAAATTTTCTACAGTGCAGTGTTTTATATTATTAGGAAAAGTAAATGTTATTAAAAACAAAAATAAACTACTTCCATTTAGAGCAGTTGATTCTACTTCTTCATCTATTTACTAGGAAAATTTTAATAGAATAGTTTTTTATTCGTTTGCATTCTGTAGCCAATTGTTCTAAGACATGTCACAATTCTGTTGTAAGGGGTCAAATTTCAGCCCAAAGAAAGATCATATTAAGAGTGAGGTCTTCTGCTCTCTTTCCTTCCTTTAGCACAGGGGTTCTTAGAACATGATCCCCAGACCAGCAGCATTAGTGTCACCTGGGAATTTTGGAGAAAGGCAAATCCTCAGGCCCCACCCTAGACCAACTGAGTCAGAAACCTTGTTGGTGGGGCCAGCAATTAAGTTTTAACAAACTCTCCATGTGGTTCTGATGTGAGCTTAAGTTTGAGAATCACTGCTTTACCACTGTTCTCTGATCTGTTCTTTTCAAGTCACCCCGAAGGAGTTACCTTCTCTCTCATTGCTACATTCAAATCATTCCCTCCATCCACCTCAAGGTCAGTGCTAGTAGCAAGTACTGGAGCATAGGTATACTAGGACCACCAAGGAAATACCATCAGTAGGCAGAAGTGTCTGAAGTGCAATAATAGCCACACTAACCTATGGGAGGATACACACGTAGGCAGATAGTTCAGGTACGGACAGGTGAATGGGAATACACCCATGAGCATATATAGGTTTAGTGGATGATATTCCTATATATGTATCTGTAGGTGTTATTAAAAAAAAAAATCCTAGCACTTGACTGCTAACCAGAAGGCTGGCAGTTCAAACCCACCAGCCACTCCTCGGAAGGAAGATGGGGCAATCTACTTCTGTAGTGATGCTGCCTCGGCAACCTAAGGAGGGGTCGCTATGAGTCGGGTCCGACTCGACGGCACATAACAACAACAACAACAACATATTCAATTTAAAGCTAATGGAGGAAAAAGTTAGGATAACTTCTTAGCCACAATAAGAAAAAGTAAAAAAAAAAAAAAAAAAGAAGTATCTGAACTGAAAGAGTCCTCTTCTGGAAGCCTAGAAGGTAGATGGGCAGCCACCTTCCATGTGGCCCTACGGCTTCTCCAAGCATCATTTTCACAGCTAAGGTTAAAGTCCTCTAAGCCTGTGATGGGAGAAAAAGCATGGAGAAGAGCCTGGAAGGACCCAGGATTTTTCTCTGGGCATATGAAACCAGTTTGTTTGGGGCTCTTGGTCCTGGCAACCACCCCTTTCATCACTCTTTTGTCTCTCACCTTCCTCAGGGCAACAGCAGCGAGTAGGGCAGCAAGGGCAGCGGATGTGGCAGCAGCAACACTGAGGACAGCACTGGCACCAGCACACTCCAATCAGCAGCAGGAGGAGGAGAGCTCCCAGAATGATGAAGATCACCGTCAGCCAGTCTGCAGCGGAGAAGCCAAGCACAGCTGAACTAAATATCCAGGGAGATGCTTCTAGCTCTAACATTCTAGAACTTTGACCTACAGGTTAAGATTGAGTAATGTGCTAGGGAAAAAAAAAAAAAAAAAGTTTGGTTTTGATAAGAGAGCTTCAGAGGCAATCCAATAACAATAACCTGAATTTACTTGCTTTTAGTTTTCCTGTATGTTAAATGTCACAGTGGGATGGCCAGGTAGAAAACTCCAGCAGCACTTACGCAGGACAATGAGCTTCACCTCCTTATCTGGGTCACCTGATGTGTCCCCCGGTGCTTCAATGGTACAATAATATACTCCATGGTCCCACCACATCACTTCATTAATCACAAGATCTGCTCCTGCACAGGAAGAAGGGAGAATGTGCCAGCGACCAGAGGACAGGGCAGTGGTTTCTGTCTCATGGTAGCTTCAAGGCTCCAGCATTGTCCTTCCACATCTTAGAGTGCTAGGTTCAGAGAATGGTCTTGATTCCTTCCTCTGATTCCCTCCTTTTTCTCCACACAGCATAATGATGGTAGGACCAACCATTCACTGAGCCCTAGCAGGCAAATTGTAAGGATTTTGGATCTATTGCCTCATTTAATTCTCATCATGATTCTCTAAGTAGGTGAGGTAGAGATTACTAGATGTCTCCCAGTGTCTATTCTCCCTTTCTCCCATGGTCACAGAACTCTGACCATGACCACCCAGAATACAGGGAGTCCCTGACTTACAATGGGGTTCTATTCAGATGACCCTGTTGTAAATCAATCCCATCAATTGATGTAAGTTGAATACCTTATTTCTTTTTAGTTTTCATTATTATTGACTTTTATTATCACTATCTTTATAAATTCAATCTTTATTTGTCTTTTGGCTTTGAAAATGTTACATATAAACTTACAGCAGATTACAGATATCAGCACACTACATGCTACAACATTGTGTTGTTGTTGCTAAGTGTCATTGAGTCAGCTCCAACTCATAGTGACCCTATGTACAACAACAACATTGCATATGGTACATATCACTAATGGTAAGATGTACACACACACACACACAAACTCAAACAGGTGGCCATAAGTGTGGCTCATCATAATTTTAATATGTCATAAGTTGGGGACTACCTATGAAGTCTATTATTTCCCATCCTTACTCACAGATGGGCATATAGGTATGTGACTTAGTTCTAACCAATGGGATATAAGCAGCATGTGATGGCTCCCAGGAACTTTCTAAAAATCAGTCTATGAACACAATTGCTCTTTCTTCATCTCTTCATATTTCTGCTATCTGGAAGGCAAATATGATGACTACCATCTTGGACCATGATGATTATCATTGGTAACTTGGAAGGATCCTGAGTCTCTGAAGACTACCAGAACAGAATCACCACACTAGTTCTGGACTGTCTACTCCTGAATTTATACATGAGGGAGAAATAAACTTCCTTATAGTTTAAGTCACTGAGATTGGGGCTTTTATTTACTTGCAGCCAAACTTAATCCTAATAGATACAGGAGAAATGGTCATTAGTCTCATTTATAGATGAGAAATCAATATTCAAAGAAGCTGTATTCTGGCCTAATAACATACAGATAATGTGTAACAGAGTCAGGTTCAAAATCATGTCCCCCTGCCTCCAGGCTGGTTCTCCTAACCACTAAGAGGTTCAATAGATACAGCTCTTGACCTACTACAGGTTAAATTTAGCTTTGTTCTCTTCAAAGTGGGTGGAAAACTCCAAAGCCTTACAAGCCTACAATAAGAAGGCAACTCAAGATCTTAAAGAGGCAAATAAAATGAGCTTGAGTAAGTAAGGATGAAATGCCAATATTTTAAGAGCATATGTTAACTAAGAAAAGAATTTCAGTTCTCATGAGCACCAAGTGCTGTGTCCCATTAAATTAAATAAATGATAGCATTTAAGTTCAAATTTCACAAATTCAACAACTGCTTATTAAAGGCCTTCTGTGGGTGCAGCACTATGACAGGCATTGTGGTGAACCTGAAAAGGCACAAGATTCTTCTCTGCCCTGAAAGGGGTTAAAACCTGCTCTGTGGCACTGAGGCCGATCCACATCTCAGTGTGATGGCTGTCCCTGCTGTCTTACCCCAACTGCTAGGAGACAGCCTGCAATTCTTAAAGACTTGCTCCTGCTCAGTTGAGGGTGACATTTGCAATTCTTTATTATTACAATTTTTTTTTTTTTTGGTCAGAAAGGAAATGAAACAAAAATGTGAGGTCACGCAACACTGGAGCAAAATTTGACTTCTGTTTCCTTCTCTTTTCTACGTCAATTCCTATGTTATTTTTCCTATCCACGGTTTTCCAGACACACTACTTTTCCCAGAAACAAGCTTCCCTTGATTTGGAAGAATAGAAAAAATGTTTCTGGGGAAATTCTTCCCTCAAAGATGATGTGTATTGTAAGTCTACCCTAATTTTTATTGGAGATGTAAAGAGTATTTCACAGATACCAGTGTAATGGAGGTCTGACAATATGCTACTATTTTAAATGATCCAAGAGCTGATTTGACAGGGTCATCTCAAATGATGCAAACATAGGCATCAAAGTGTCAACATCCCAGGGCTTCAGGAAGCCTGGAGGCAGGAATTAGAACCAACAGAATACTGCTTTCCTGTGGGAGTAAGAAAGAGGCAAGATTTGATCCAAAGCTTTTTGGGATTGAGGATAGTGTATGGTCTAGCTCATAATTAGGAAAAAAATAAAAAAAAAAAAAAGAAGAAGAAGAAGAAGAAGAGCAGAGACTGTCACCAATGAGGAGCTCATCCTTCAGAAACTAGAAGGGAGACTTGTTTAATTAAAGACAGTAAACCTTAGAGGCAGATTAAAGCTAACCCTGCTGGCTCAGGTGAATCCATGATGGTGCACCTGGAGATAACAGAGGAGGAAAGATGTTTTAAGGCTGAGGGTTTGAGAGCTGGCAGGGGGAAATCAGGGGTTGAATATAAAAGGATCAGAGTTAAGTGTTAGATCCAAGTTGGAAGTAACTATCAAGCTGGTTCCCTTTAAATGATCTACCTTTAAACAATAATAGATATTAACTAATTTCCTCACATTGAAGTTACAGGCCTGAGTGTACAAGTTACAAGCTGAGTGGCCTGCTGTGTGCATTCTATCCTTTCTTTTATTTTGTTCCTTATAACCAGTAAATATTTATTTATTACAGCATCTAAAATGGACTCTGAATTCTATACCTATAACCCATAGCAGACATCCTGTAATACAAGATAGGAATGTGGAGTACTAACCCATTCATCTAAAAGTGTGCTGAGTGATCATAACTAACATGCACCGCACACTTACCGTTTGCTAAGTGCTTTATACATACTATCTCATTCAATCACCCCACCATCTCATGAGGTAAGTACTACTGCAAGTCTTATTTTATAAAAATTGAGTCTTAAAGGTGAAAAATGATTTGCTCAAGTTCACACAGCCAGAAAGTACAGAATAGGGACCCAAGCCTGACTCTAGAGCCAGGGCTTTAATCAATCCTTCCTATACCAGACACAAAAAAAATAGATATGCTTTAGACACAGCTGTCAGACACCACACTTCCTATTCATTTCAGTGTGGAGAGACAGATACCATTATCCTCGTTTTACAGATGAGGAAATAGAGACCAAAGAAAATAACTGCTACTGGTTACTGAGTTGGCAAGTGAAACACTAGGGATCTAACCAATCCCGGTGTTCTTTCCTCTGTCAATGGAGATCTGTGAACTTGTGGTGATCATTATGAAAGCCCGTTTCCCTGGATCTGGTCAACAGGAGCAACCAGAAAGGAACTCAAAGGGGTGGGGTTTGAGCAGGCCCTGAGAGCAATCAGGGAAGGAATCAAAGGAGCCTGATCTGTATGTATCTTAGCCCTCAAGGAATCTCAGGCAAGCAAATCTCAGTGGGAAACCACCCACTGTCAGATCGTAGCCAAAGCTGTAGGACATCCCCTGGTCTATACAGCATATATCCAGGGGAAAAACTTCAGGTGGCACAGCATATTCTGTGAATCAGGCACTCGTCTCAAACAATGACAGTGACCAAGTCGACCATTAGGCAGCAGAAAAAAAGGGAAATCCCCAAGCTGATTCAGCCTGCCAGGCCTGTGTGCATTTCCCTCCCACCTCCAGTTTGCTTGCTGTTTCTACCAGCACTCACGGTTCTGGATGGTGATCTTGCGCTGCCGGTAATCCACCCCCAGAACAGGCTCATTCTGTCCCCGCCGCTGGGCCACAATGCGTACCTCTCGCTGGTTGTCATTACAGTCATTGGATGGGTCCTGGCCCAAGGATAAAGCTGCCTGGTATGCTGAGAAGAGAAGACACACTTGAGGCACACAGCAATAGAGGGTTTCCATTAAGAAAGGAGCCCTCACTGTTGCCTGGAGCAGTAAAGTTTGTCAACTTTTACTGAACCCACAAATATCCTGGGCAACTTGTTAAACATGCAGATTCTGATTTGCACGTCTGGAGAGGGATCTGAGATACTGCATTTTTAATAAACTCTCAGGTGATGCCAGTGCTATAGGTCTAAGGACTACACTTTGAGAGATAAGACTTCAGAATCCCCCACCATGGGTCATCATTTCCAAATCCTGGCTGACTCCCTCTGTCTCCTATCCGAACTTCTCTTGCCTCATCTTCTGAGTCACCCTAACCTCATCTCCCAAGGAATTCATCCACTTGCTTTTATAATATAAGGTGTGAAAGCTGTTAAATGTGCAATGGCAGACTAACCCAGGCATTTGAAGAATAACCCCCAGAAAACAGTGCTTCAATTAAAGAGGGGTCTTGTGAGGCCATGTCAACCTCAGTAGGTGGCTAAGAGGCTCAGCCTTTGTGGTTCTACTCAAAACACTCTGTTAGACCTTAGCCCAGATCTAAAAAAGGTTAAGTTGATGCCTCCCGCTTCCTTTCCCTCATCTCATGAATGAAGCTCACTTCCTGACTATGAACACAGTGTCTATTTCTTTTCTCGAAATTTCTAACAGGTTAATTGTCTTCAGGTTGACTGTGAGGTTCTAGATTCCATTCTTCTTTGAAAGATGGCAGAGGAGGTGGCTGGAGAAGAGCTTCAGCTCCAGACAGTAGAACTGTGATGAGTGGGGAAGTCATGACTGAGAGGCAGGGCTTGGCTAAACTAAAGTTGAGTTGTTTAGCACTAAGGAAAGAAGAGCTCTGGTAGCGTAGTGCATAAGGCACTTACTTGACTGTTAACCAGAAGGCTGGCAGTTCAAACTCACCAGCCACTACTTGGAAGGAAGATGGGGCAATCTACTTCCCTAGTGATACTGCCTCGGAAACCCAAGGAGGGGTCGCTATAAGTCGGGTCTGACTCATGGCACATAACAACAACAACAAGGAAAGAAGCATGCTGCCAGTGGGACAGCGAGGATGGCTATCTATCAGGAAGGCTGTTTGTAGAGGAAAGCTGGCCTTGGGTGGGAGGTTTCACCAATGACTACTAAGGTCCCATGTATCCTGAGGAGCACTGGAGTCTGTTCTTGTTGACTGTCTAAGATGGTGAGGGTGATGGGTCTGCCTCATCATCTCAGCATGCTGATGTGGAACAAGGAACAGAGGCAGGAATTACTCTGCCTTTTACTTAAATGTCTGAACTTCTTTAAAACATTTTACAACAACAACAACAAAAATCCACCAAACTCACTGCCACTGAGTTGATTCTGACTCATACCAACCCTACAGGACAGAATAGAACTGCCCCATAGGGTTTCCACGGCTGTAAATCTTTATGGAAGCAGACTGTCTCATCTTTCTCCCTCCTATGGGGAAGGCTGGTGAGTTCAAACTGCTGACTTTTTGGTTAGCAGCTGAATGCTTTAACCACAGCACCACCAGAGCTGCATTTTAGAACAAGGTGCGATATACATTTTGAAATAAATGAAATAGTATGTAACCTTAAACAAGTCATTGCATCTGCCTGAGACTTAGTTTGTTTATCCATAAAACGGGGGAACTGCACTAGGTAATCTCTGGCTTCTTCCACTGTAAGAATTTGTAAATTTGCATAATTTCTAATCCCTAAAGCAGCAAATACTTCACAGAGGTGCCTGTTACCCAGGGAGAATAGGGGCAGGGGGACACTTACATGCAGAGTAGTAGTCAAAGATGGGGTCCTTGCAGAAGGACTTGAAACGCCATGTCACCACCACATCCTGGAGCTGGGCAGAGGTGGTGTAGTCACATTTGAGGACAACCGAAGCAAACAGGGTGACATAGCGCTCTGTGTGTTGGACTGTCACCAGCAAGGACAGGCACCCTGAAACCAAGAGCCAGGAGACAATGCTGAAGTCAGTTCAGGTCTCTGAGGAATGATAATAAAATCAATGCAAATGAGCAAAACATATTGCCTGCCCCCTGCCTGACTCTGGTGGAGAGCTCACAGGAAGAGCCTGAGTTCTTACTAGCCTGACAGGAGTGACGCAGGGACTGCAATAGTCACCTTGGGAGAGATAGAAAAGAAAAATGGCTAAAGACCACTCAAGAACTTACAGTCCACTGACAGTGATAACACATTCAACAACAACAATAATAAAATACATTAAAATAAGCCCATATTGGTATGACACAACCTTTCTAATACACTTCTTTTTCATGCCACTTCTTTGTTTAAAATGTTTTTCCATTTTCCTAAGAATTCAGTTCAATTGTTATAACTAGATCTACCAGGTCTGCCAGCTCTGTCTTCTACCTTTCTCTCTTAACTCATCTTCCTTCATGCCCCACATTACACTCAGGGTTTCAGCCATGTGAACTCCTTTCAGTCCTTCCTGTGCTAGTCTCTCTCTCTCCTCTGGGTTTACATGTGTGTATTTCTCAGAACATTTTTCTATATCACCAGCCACCAGCTCTCCTATGATGATTAATCTTATGTATCAATTTATCTAGCTTATGGTGACCAGTTGTTCAGTCAAACACCAGTCCAGATGTTGTTGTGAAGGTGTTTTGTTGATTGGTTAATATTTACAACCAGTTGACTGTAAGTAATGGAGATTACCCCCATCCAATCAGTTGAAGTCCTTAAGAGCAAAACAAAGGTTTCCGGGAGAAGGAATTGTGCCTCGAGATTGTAACAGATTTCCTGTGGGTGTTTTCAGCCTGCCAGCTTATTGTTTGGCTTTCAGACTCATGACTACACCACCACCTCTTGTTTCAGTTCCCAGCGTGGGCCTGCCCCACAAACTTCAGATTTGCCAGCCTGCACAACCTTGTGAGCCAATTCCTTAAATTCTTTCTCTCTATTGCACTCTCAGGTGATATAAACATTTAACCCAGTTGGCTGCTAACCAAAAGGTTGGAAGTTGGAGTGCACCCAGAGGTGCCTTGGAAGAAAATGTCCTGGCATTCTGAAAAATCAGCCATTGAAAACCTTATGGAACACAGTCTACTTGGACACATAGAGACTCCAAGAGTTGGAATTGACTTGACTCCAATTGGTTTATTGATTTTTTTCTGTTTCTCTGGAGAACTCTGACCAATACAATTCCCTTAATTGGGTTAAATAGTATTCATTCTTTAGCCCCTCAACTTAAACCTTACCTCTGTCAATAAGTCTTCCCTGATTCTACAAGTCTGGGAGAGAGGCCTCGGCTCTGTACTCCCAAGGTGTCTCCTCCCATGCCCAAGCAGCACTTTTCACACTTTTTGGTGATGGCCTGTACACTCTGAAAAGGCTGATTAGGTTTGTCTCTAACTCACTGTTCAAATATCAGCACCTTGTTCAGTGCTTGTCACCTGCTTGGTACTCAGCAAATGTTTGTGGAATAAATTATTGAAGGAATGACCATGAATATATTAACCAGTGGAAAGTGACTATGGGTGGTCAACATAAGCACAGGGCAAATAAAACAAAAACAATTAGATTGTGAGAGAACTTGATTAAGAAAGACTTGAAGATTTTCCTTTTTCTTTTTGAAAATTTCCTCTGTCTACCCTATAAACCTACAGACAAATTTAAAGCTGCCAGGTTGGCTTGATGAGAAACCATAAGGGTCAGAAATGTCAGGTGGGACAATGGCATGGTCTGGGGTTCACACCTGACCAGTATATTCCTGGAATGTCCCTGTGTTAGTATGAGTTCTAGGCTGAGTTATGAGGAGATCTTCTTGTAGGAAGGTATGGCATGGAGCAGTAGTACTCAAACTTGAGCATGCAGCAGACCACCAGGAGAGCTTGTAAAAGCTTAGATCACTGAGCCCCATCACCTCAGTGTCTGATTCAGTAAGACTTGAGTGGAGCCCAAGAACTTACATTTCTAGCAAAGTTCCAGTAGATGCTGATCTGCTGGTCCAGGGATCATACTTTGAGAAAAGATTAAAAAAAAAAAAAAAGGCACAGGCTTTGGAGTCAGACACAATTAGGTTCAAATCAAACTTTAGTACATACTTGGACATTGGACAAGTTATTTAATCTCTCTGAGCTGCTCTTTCTTCAGCTATGAATAGGTTTAATAATAGTACTAACCACATCAGGCTGCTGCAAGAATTCAGTAAGGTCATTCACTTATAGTGCCTAGTATGGTGCCTGGCACTTAGGGCTGCTGTGTTATCATGTGAATCTCTTTCCCTCTACTCTCTTATTATGAGGGCCAAGAAAAAGGAGTTAAAACAAGGGTTTCCTCAATAGAGTTCTCAAGTGGAGCCAGCTGCACTTTGATGGAGTTACATCACACAGAGTCTCTGGGCAGAGCAAATGGTTAACCTGCTCAGCTGCTAGTCAAAAGATTGGAGACTTGAGTCCACCCAGAGGCATCTCAGAAGAAAGCCCTGAGGATCTACTTCCATAGTATCACTCATTGAAAACCTGTGGAGCCATGAGTCAGAATCAACTTGACAGCAACTGGTTTTTACCTTCCATGAACAAAACAATTGTAGTTACCCTTTATAGAGCAGATGGAGTATCTTGATGGTTAGAGCTGCATGGTTCTGGGCCCTGCCTTACCCTATGGCCACAGCCAGCATAACACAGTTCTCCAAGACCTCCCATGGAGAGACAGAAAGCTCTCTCAAGGAGAGATTCCATGGCTGTGATGAGGAAGCTCCCTTGACAGCCATGCTGGAGACAGGCTTTGGAGAAGTATAAAGGGAGATGTATGGGGAAGATTTCATGGAGGGAAAAGACTTAACCTAGATCTTACAGCTCAGGTGGGATTAAAATAACACATTAAAAGGGTGAAGGGAGCATATCGAAACCAAACCAAACTCACTGTTATGGAGTCAGTTCTAACTCATAGCGACCCTCACTGGGTTTCTGAGGCTTTATGGAAGTAAAGCCCCATCTTCCTTCCACTGAGCAGCTGGTGAGTTTGAACTGCTGACATTCTAGTTGGCAGCCAAATGCCTTATTCACTACGCCATCAGAACTCCTTGAAAAGAGCATAAAAACCAAAAAACTATACTCACTACTGTCAAGGTGTTTCCAGCTCATTGCAACCCCTCCTTGGGTTACTGAGGTGGTATCTCTAGGGAAGTAGATTGCCCAATCTTTCTTCCAAGGAGTGGCTGGTGGGTTTGAACCACCACCCTTCTGGTTAGCAGTCAAATGCCTTAGGCACTATGCCATCAGAGCTCCCTGAAGGGAGCATAGAACTAATTATTTCAAAGAGGAAGAAAGGAGTAAGCAGCAACCCTCATCGGGGGGGAAAGTTATTTGGAGGACAACTAACCTTATGTGAGACAGAGGGATAACAAAATTAGGAGTAAGGGTGGTGAGTGGGAGGTGGCAGAGATGAGGTAGAGTCTAAATCTTACTCCAGTGTCATTTCTAGTTCATGGACAATCACTGAAGGCTTTTCTGAATAACAGTAACAGAGTGAAAGCGGTATTTTTAGAAAGGTGGATGACTTCCTTATTCAGCAGTAATTGGAAACAGAACATCATCTTGAGACTAAACATTGAGTAGTTTGGGGTTGGGAGGAGGGGGATAGCTGCTGTCTCTGTCAGCTGTAGAATTCCAGGAAATCAGGCTAATCAGAAGGGAAGGACCAGTGACCAAGCATCTCAAGCCTGTTATTATTATTAGCTGTCTTCAAGTCAGCCCCTGACCCACAGTGACCCAATGTGTTACAGAGTAGAGCTGCTCCACAGGATTTTCTTGCTAGTAATCTTTATGGAAGCAGATTACCAAGTCTCTCTTCTGCAGAGCCAGTGAGTAGTTTGAACCAATAACTGTTCTGTTAGCAGTTGACCGCAGACTGACTGCAACACCCAGGCTCCTTATTTCATATTCTTTTTTTTTTTTTAATTCTTGCTCCCAGCCCACACCTTTCTTTTCTTTTCTTTTTTTTTTATCCCAGAACTGACCTGAAATAGACCACGGAGCTTTCACCCACCACATCTTTAACGGAGCAGTAGAAACAGCTCCAGTTGAGATTTTGGCAATGGAGGGAGTGTCATTATCAACACTGGCTTATTTTGTTCAGCAATACATACACATCATAGTAGAGAGGAAATGTCATTTTAAACTACTCACTTTGTGGTACTTTGTCACAGCAGTCCTAGGAAACTAATAGACCTAGGAAGTATCAATATCAGAATTTGATCTAGGGTCTTGCTGACATCAAAACCCATTTTTTCCCAAGCAGTTAAGCATAACTTTCCAAGTAGAAGTCTGGTGGTAGATGTTAAAAAGCAGTAGGATTTTCCAGATTCGGGGGATGGGAATGGGGGTCAGAAAGAAAGGAAGTAGCAAGACAACCCATCTCTAAGGCAAAAATGTCCCATCTTTCCTTTCTTTTGGTCTCTAACTTCTCTGTAAAACTCACTGTGTCAGGTATGTACAGTACTAAGCAGATAAAGTTGTTCAAGAAGAGGCCAACAGCAGATTCTGGGCTAAAAACATGAACGGGTTCAAAAATATAAATCCCCTGATTATAAATATCCTGGTTGCATCTTTGCTTTTTTAAATTAAACACACCAAGTTTCCAGATTCTTAAATTTTCTATTTTTCAACCTTCCTAGCATTTCCTTCTTCCCAATTCATTGACACCCAATTTCCCAGGTGACTCATTTTCTCTTGAAACCTTTAATTCCAGAGCCTGACTTCTTGAGTTCAGATTCTTCCCCCACTCACTTCCAGCTAAAATAACTAGCAAATTGTTTCCAAACTACAGTTGTTTCTTCATATGCAAAATTGGGGTGATGATAAGACTTGCCTCATGGGATTATGATGTTGATTAAATGAGATGATAAATGCTTAGCATTGAGTAGAGTGCCTCACACATAGCAGACACTTGATACACATCAGCTATTATTACCATTT